TTAGACTCTGTCACTTGCAACCAAATTGCTGCACCTCTCTGAGCCTCAGTTTCCTCATTTTAAAGTATTGATAATGACCCCTTCCTCATATTTTAAAAATTTGATGCATATAAAATGCTTATGATGGCTCCTGGCACGTAATACACACCTAATAAATGTTAATTATTACTATTTGAATTAGCATTCATAGTGCCTGGAGACGATGTGAATGAGAACATAAGTCTATGAAATAATAATAGAGATGGCTCTGATTTTTCTTTAAGCTCTGTCCAAGACAGAAGGGCCATTTTTTTTTTCATGACTTTATTACCTCTTTGCTTTATGTCCTTGTAAGGCCCAGACATGCCTCCTTCATTGATGACAAGGCGTTCTTACCACCGTTAGCCAGTTCTCATTAAGGTGCCTCCACTCTGGGGGACTGAGACACAGATGGGCTTGTTCCATACTCTGAAAGGAGCCTCGTCTCCCTACATTCCCCTTTGGCTCCAGCTGATAGACACTCAGTACACAGTTCCAAGACTTAATTGCATTCTGCTTGTATGTTGCCAAACACTAAAACCTTGTTGTTGGAGTTAAGTGTTTTGGGAAATGGTCTGTAATATTTCACCAACCGAGACTTCAAAAAGTTGGAATTGCTGAATGAGCTGCCAGATCCGAACTTGATCTCCAGTTGGCCTACCTGTGCTCACTGGAGAGGACATGTTGAAACCTTCCTTCCCTGTGAGCTCTGTGAATTCATTTAAGAAATATTCTGTCCCTGCAGTGGCATTTAGTGGCACATAGTAGACTCTCAATTGTGGATTTTAAATATATTATGCATTTTAAAGACACTAAAAATATAATAACTTCAAATACTTAAATCATGGTTACACTGTGTCAGACACTCTTTCAAGCATCTACATATACTAAGGCAATGGTTCACGAACTCTCCTGCACGTTAGAATCACGTGGGTAATTTAAAATAGTCCAGATGCTCAGGCCACGCCCTACACCAATGAAATCAGACTCTCCTAAATTGAGAGTTTTAAATACTCCCCAGGTGACTCACATATGTAGTCAACTGTGAGAATCAGGGAGTGAACTCATTTCATCTTCATAACACCTTATAAAGCAGGTGCTGCTACTACTCATGTTGCATAAGTGAGGAAACTCAGGCACAACAGACAGGTTAAGTGACTTGCCCAAGGTCACACAGCTGGCAGATGTCAGAGCCAAGTGTTGAACCAGGCTGTATGGTCCCAGAGTTCATGCCCTTAATCACCAAAACCTATAACCAGAAGCCCGCATATTCTTTTTTTTTTCTTATTTTTATTATTATTTTTAATCTTTATTTTTTCTTTATTTATTTTTATCTTTATTTTTATCTTTATTTTTTATCTTATTTCTATTTTTTTCTTATTTCTTTTTTATCTTTATTTATTTTTTATCTTATTTTTTTTTTTTTTTTTTTTTTTTTTTTTTTTTTTGAGACAGAGTCTCGCATTCTCGCCCAGGCTGGAGTGCAGTGGCGCGATCTCGGCTCACTGCAAGCTCTGCCTCCCGGGTGCACACCATTCTCCTGCCTCAGCCTTCTGAGTAGCTGGGACTACAGGCGTCCGCCACCACAAAATTTTTTGTGTTTTTTAGTAGAGATGGGGTTTCACCGTGTTAGCCAGGATGGTCTCAATCTCGACCTCGTGATCTGCCTGCCTCGGCCTCCCAAAGTGCTGGGATTACAGGCGTGAGCCACCATGCCCAGCCGAAAAATTTGTCTTAAAAGTATTTGTTTACACACACACACATCATATGTGTTTACATCATACAGATTAATTACCTGCCTCAGCCTCCCAAAGTGCTGGGATTACAGGCGTGAGCCACCATGCCCAGCCGAAAAATTTGTCTTAAAAGTATTTGTTTACACACACACACATCATATGTGTTTACATTATACAGATTAATTCTATAATGAAAATCTGTGGCCCCATCAACCAAAGAACTAGGGCATTGCCAATAAGACATACACCTGATGCTCTTTCCCAGTCCAGGGCCCCAGGTCCCCTCCACAGAGGTCATCGTTATCCTGAGTTTGGGAGTTTATCACTGCTTTGCATATATAAAGTCATATTTGTATGTATACCTACACAGCATGTGTTTTACTCTTGCTTATTCTTGTTTTATAAAAATGAGATCATGCTATTATATGTCGTCTTCTGGTTTTAATTTTTTTCCTGCTATTTCCCAAATTTTATTTTTTTTTAATTTTTATTTTAGGTTCAGGGGTACATGTGCAGGTTTGTCGTACATTAATAGGTAAACTTGTGTCATGGGGGTTTGTTGTACAGGTTATTTCATCACCCAGGTATTAAGTACCAAATAGTTATTTTTTTCTGCTCCTCTGCCTCCTCCCACCCTCCACCCTTAGGTAGGCTGCAGTGTCTGTGGTTCCCTTCTTTGTGTCTATGAGTTCTCGTCATTCAGCTCCCACTTATCAGTGAGAACATGCAGTATTTGGTTTTCTGTTCCTGTGTTAGTTTGCCAAGGATAATGGGCCTCCAGCTCCATCTATGTTCCTGCAAAACGTGATCTCATCCATTTTTATGACTGCGTAGTATGCTGTGGTGTATATGTGCCACATTTTCTTTATCCAATCTGTCATTGAGAAGCCTGCATATTCTCTTATTCTCTGTCCCCATCCCACTGTCTGGTTCAAACTCCCATGCTCTCATAATGTCTCCTGGACATTTCAAAGTCTCGTCATTGGTCTTCTTTCTCGAGTCGCAGGCTCTCTAACTCAGCTCTGTCCAATGGAATTATAATGCGAGCCACTTATGTAATTTTAAATTTTCCACTGGCCACATTAAACAAGTAAAAATAAGCAGGATAAATTAATTTTAATACCATCTTTTATTTAACCCAATATATTTCAAATATCCTTTTGACACATAACCAATATTAAACAATATTAACGAGATAGTCTACATTCCTTTTTTCATACTCACTGTTCAAAGTCCCGTGTGTATTTTATACTTATAGCTGTTGAAAAATCACAAAATCTATGCATTTAGGTAAAGAGGCTTTATTTTTTAAAAAAAGGGTTACAGTCTACAAGGTGGCCATCCCACAGGCTGGGAACCATACCTCTGGCTGGAATCATTAGCAGGCATTTTGAAGGAGAGGAGTTGGTTTCTTTTTTTTTTTTTTTTTTTTGAGAGGGGATCGGGTTTGTTTCCCAGGCTGGAGTGCAGTGGCGCAATCTCGGCTCACTGCAAGCTCCGCCTCCCAGGTTCAGGCCATTCTCCTGCCTCAGCCTCCTGAGTAGCTGGGACTACAGGCACCCGCCAACACGCCTGGCTAATTTTTTGTATTTTTAGTAGACACGGGGTTTCACCATATTGGCCAGGATAGTCTCGATCTCCTGACCTCGTGTTCCACCCGCCTTGGCCTCCCAAAGTGCTGGGATTACAGGCGTGAGCCACCAGGCACAGCCAAGAGGAGGAGGGGTCGGACAGGAATTTTAGCTGACTGGGGTGGTCAAGTATACATATTCAACAGGTTATGAGAAGAGTTATGAATATTTATGAAGGCGGTTATGACACGTGTGACATATGACTCGTTCACCTTGGGGTGGGGCCTGACATTTAAATGTATTATATTTAGGTCCTATGTGTCAAAAAGGGGTTTTTAGGACAAAGGCACTCATGTGCACAGCCTCTGTAAACTGGCCAGAATCAGTCCATGGTCGTGGTCTTTTTTATTAGGAGAAAGTTATTGAAATCAGTCTCTCGTCTAATCAAAGCTGTAGTGATGGCTGGTGGAAAGGGAACAGTGTGCAGGAGGATCAGTTCGTCAGTGTCTGGTGGTTGGTTAGCGGCAGTTGCTTTAACATTGCTTATCTCAAGGCCGGCGCTTGTTTAGCTACTAGAGAAAAAGAAAAACCCTGTGGCAGTTAGAATCCAGTTTATTCTTTAAGTGAAGGAGTGTGTGACTTAACCCTTTCCTGGAACGGCCATAAGCCCTGTTGATAACTTGATATCTTATTGCTACAAAGAATTCATTTTGTCGGTCTTGTGATCTCTATTTTAACATTAAATCTGGTCAGTTGTGTCTAAACTACACAAAAGAGGGGGTATAACGAGGTGTGTCAGACCTCCCGTTCTTGTCATGGCCGTGAACTCAGTTTTTAAGGTTTTTCTGGGTGTCCCTTTGGCCAAGAAGGCATCTGTTCTGTCGGTGGGGCTTAAGATTTTATTTTTAGTTTACATCGCACATCTCAATTTGGACTGGCCATGTGTCCAGTGCTCAGTAGCCACACACAGCTAATGACCACCATATCGGATGGTGCCGCTGTAACCCATTCCCCACCCTGCAGACAGAGCAAACTTTCTAAAATGTAAACATCACTGGTGTTCTCAACAATTTAGAACATATCCCTAGCTTCCTATTACTCTCAAGACAGATTCCTGAAGGTTGTTTGTGATTTATTTCCAACTCACCCTTCTAGACTATTTTTCCATAACTTCACGTATGGACCTTCCAGCCTTAACAAACTTCTTTTTTCTCCCCCAATACGTAATTGTTTTTCAGGTCACTGTGACTTTGCACAGGCAGTTTTCTCCACCTGAAAAGCCATTCCTCTTCTCTGGTTCTTTCCACTTCTTCACCTACAACACTCCTCTTCCCCTCAAGTGCCTTCTCATTTATTTTAAAAATCTTCGAGGATTCATCTGGGATGGGTTAGTCCAACCCTCCTGTGCATTCATGTAGAACCTTGAACACAGCTTTTATCATATTTGTTGGTAGCTGCCTATGTGCTCACATCTCTCACAAGGCCAAGTGCTTCACCAGAGCAAGGATCATGGCTTGTCTCCCTTTCTGCTCCCAGTACCTTTCTCACTCAGTGCCTGTCAAATATTCGACACATAATATTAGACCCCATTCCCTACAGTCATTTGTATTACTTGCCTGGTCTTGGTTGAAATGTAGATTTGGGACCCTCATAATCTAACTTTCTGATTTTACAGATGGGGAAACGGAAGCCCTAGAGGAAAAGAAGACTAAATGTGTTACCATCTGACCCACTTCCTGGCTAGCCTGTTCACCTGTCTGCGATTCTTCATTGGTGAGTTTTCTGCAAATGTAAAATGGCATTAAATTGAAGAAGAGAGGAGGAGGCCAGTTGGCCTGCTTTATGCAATCAGTGGTTCATGAAATCATAAAGTGTAAATAAAATGTTTGTAAATGAGACCGCATTTCAGATGCCCTAGAGTTGCTAGACCTGTAGTGCAATCCTCTTACAAGCTCTGGTATAATGAGAAAAGAGTGTTAAATTTATTGTCTTTGTAAATTTGTATCCCTTTCCTCCTCTGTTGGAACTGCTTTACAAATGAGATCCAGCTGCTGTTTTAGCAAACTTGGATGGTGATGTTTCTGTGTCACCCCAAGTAAAAATGGTTTGGGGTGGATGGTCTGTTTCTTTGATCCCTTGAAGCCTCAGTTCTCTTTTTTATCATGGGGTTGGGGTGGGGAAAAAGAGAGAAAGAGAGAGATTTAGAATGTGCTCAGAACAGCCAGTTTGTGGAGTGAACTAAAGAACATTGCAGAGCATTATTTCATGCTCCTTCATTGAGGCACTTGGCCATTTGACTCCCATTAAATTGGAAGTTGCGTGTTTAAAAAAAACTTTATGTAAAGTTTAAGTTTTTTATGCACAAGTTAGGTGCACTGTTTCTCTTTGCAAACTCACTGTTGGGAGAGAAGCTAGAGACCCAAGGAGGAGATAGAGGAAGGGTTAATTAGGATATCAGTCGCCTGGGGTCATTTAACGCAAGGGAAGATAACTAATCTTTCAGTATCTGAGAGCATCACTGGGGTATAGTGAGAGGAATGCCAATTCATAGGTACCCTCGATGCTCTAGGATTAATATTAGGAGATTTAAAGAGAGGCATTGGAAGTTTATCAGAAGTAACACTGGGGATGAGATGACAAGAATGCCACTACTATCCCTTTCATACTGTGGAATGCCCAACTTCTCCTGGGTTTCTTGGCTTGCCTGACACCAGACATGTGGTCTCTTTCTCAGTACAGACTGAATGGGGGTGCCAGGGTCAATCCACACCCAAACTACTTGTAAAGCTTCAGATAGACTTTTGCTAAGATAGCTATAAATATAAGTTCTAATATTTTTTTCTGCTCCCTAATGGATCATCTTGTGCAACCCTTCCACTTTGAAGACCATTGAGCTAGGAAATTTACTTACCTGGCACCTCTTTTCACAGTGCTAGAGACATGAGGGTTGGCTCTGATAACAATCCCCACCTTGCATTTGTTTCATGCTCTTTTAAATCCAAATGGGCACTTTCACACCTGCTGCAAAACGGAGTGACAAAACATCTGTGTTCTTAGTCTTTCCCTTTTCTCCTGATTGATGTTGTGAATTTAACTCAGGGTTTCGTCTTAGCATCACCTGCATGATATATCCCATGATAGTGCCTTTCTCTACGACCTCACTCGCCCTCTTAGAGGAAGGGGTGTCTAGAATTTGACTATGCTTATACACAGATCTCTTTTCTTTCTCCTGTTGCATTAATTGGGAATCAGTTTGTTTCAAGTGAGGGAAATCAAATGAAATGTGGCTTCCGCAGAAAGAGAAGCTATTAGCCGCCATAACCAAAAGTTCAAAGATCTGGCTAGGGAGCCAGGGGCCCAGATGATGTGACCAATATTTGATCTCTCTTTTGCTGCATTTCTTGGCTTTGTTTTCCTCCCTTTGTTGGCAGTTTCTCTCTGTGTGCTGGTTCCCAGAAGCAGTAGGCTTGTTTTATCCTTAGTGTCAACAGTTCCAGAAGAGGGCTTCTTGTTCTGTCTTCCAGTTCCAACAGAAGTTCAGGAATTGAGTTTTATTGGATTACTTTGGGTGTCCATCCTGACCCGTTTGCTATGATTAGGGAAATGTCATGCTTGCATTATCCAGGTCTTGGTCACGTGCCCACACCTGGCACTGGACTGAAGCACTGCTGAATCCACAATGAATGAGAGTCAGGAGGAAGGGGTTGCTGCCTAAAGAAGAGGCAGTGGGCAGGCACGAGCTACACATGTGTTCCATCTTTGAGTGAGGACTTTCCTTGACAGAGGCTCAACTATGGGGTTGGAACGATACAGTCCTTTGCCTGAATTACAGCTTTCATTTTGCTATGCAATTGTGATGCTGACTATCCAGAGGTAGGTCAAAGCTTTCAGATTAAGGGTACACAAGAATGTCCTCAATTAAGACACCATTCATAGAGGTCCCAGGCCACCTACACTTCTGACCAACTGGCTACACTTTGAGGGTTCCCACTAGCCCCTCTGGTCCATTAATTCGCTATCATATATATTGTACTTTGTTGAGTTCTTATCTGTGTATAAGACAGAACAACCCACAGAACTCAACAAAGTATGATATAGATGATTATAATTTTATTATAAAGGATATAAATCAAAATGATCCAAATTAAGAGTAACACAGAGTGAGGTCTGGGAGGGTCCAAGATGTGGTATTTGCATGTCTTCAGGATATCAATATATGATTATCGAATAGGGAAACTCACTGGAGTGTTGGATGTTCAGAGTTTTTATTAGGGCTTCATCATGTAGACATGCTTGGTTGAATCAATGGCGATGTGATTGAACCCCACCTCCAACCCTCCTTCTGTCCCCAGAGCACAGGAAGATGAAAGGATATAATGTGGTTCGAAACCCCAACCCTCTAATCACATTGTTGGTCTTTCTGGCATGACCAGCTTCCAGCATAAAACTGTCTAGGGACCCACTGTGGATCACCTCATTAGCATAAACTCAGGGGTGATCTGTGGGGCCCACTATGAATAACAAAGAAACTCGTCTCACTCTGGAACTTCTAAGGGTTTAGAGGCTCCCTCCCAGAAACTGGGGATAAAGACCAAACCAATTCCTTATGATACACCACTCCTCTATGCTGGATCCCAACTTCTTCCCAGGCCTGGAAACTAACACTGTCCAATATTCACTGTCTCCTCTGCTGCCACCACTTCTGGACCCAACACCAGCTCTGACTGAGGCTTTTAGCCTCTTCCTCCCTCAGCCCATCAGAGGTCTCCTTTGGGGTCTCCTCCTGAACTGTACTGTCCCCTATTCCAAGCCCTTCTTTCTTTTCCTCCCAAAGCTAGTGACTTTGGAAGAGTCCACCTCTCTATGTCTCAGTTTCTTCATTGGTAAAATGTAGGATGTGGATTGGTTTCAACTCAGTTGTTACTTCTTCCAGGAAGCCTTCTCTAGAGGACACTTTTGTTTTTTTGTGAGTAGCATCTGAGTCCTTTTCCTTTTCTTGGGAAACTTTCACTCTATGAGATTAATATTTCTCCTATTATAAAAGTCAAAAAAATCCAGATACTTGCTTTCTCAGCCTTTTTTATCAACTAGGATATGATCATGTGACTTAGGCTTTGCAATCAGATTTTTATGTTTTCAGAGGCAGTAATGTAAAGACTGAGAGTTAAATTAGCCACAATCAGATTCTGTTGCTTGCATATAAAGACATTGACTGATGTACCTTTTTTGACTTGCCAGACTTAGTGGTGGCTTTCTGTGTGCTCCATCTTTCTCTGCCATTGTTGTCACAGCTAAGGTGTATTGGGTCCTTACTATAAGCTGGATACTTTATACAGCCTATCTCACTAACATTTTTTTTTTTTTTTTTGAGATAGAGTCTCACTCTGTCATCCAGGCTGGAGTGCAGTGGTGCGATCTCGGCTCACTACAACTTCTGCCTCCCGGGTTCAAGCCATTCTCCTGCCTCAGCCTCCAGAGTAGCTGGGATAACAGGTGCCCGCCACCACTCCCAGCTAATTTTTATATTTTTAGTAGAGAGGGGTTTCCCCATGTTGGCCAGGCTGGTGGTCTCGAACTCCTGACCTCAGATGATCTGCCCACCTTGGCCTCTCATAGTGTTGGGATTACAGGCATGAACCACCAAGCCTGGCCCAGGCTATCTCATTGACTCTTCAGTGGCATTCCCATTTTACAGATGAGATACATAGAAGTGAAGATATCTCTCAAGGTCATACAGCCAATGACAGCACAACTAGGATCTGAACTTTCTCAGTCTGACACCTGAGTGTTCTCTTTTAACCATCACACTATAGCACCACTATTTAACCTTTGGAGGACACAGGCTATCTTTATACCTTTGGCATCTCTCAAAAAGCCTGGAGCATGGTAGGTACTCAATGATATGCAAGCTCAGGTAGATGACAAGGTCTCACCTGGCTCAAACACTCTATGAGTTTCCTACCTCCGCCCATCAAACTGCAGCCCTTCTTTCAGCCCCCTTCTCCCACTTGTTACCTCCAGGACTTACCGTCTAATCACTATAAACTATTCTTCACCTCCTTCACACCCCTGTTCCCATGCATACCTTAAAATCAATGTTGAAAATCTTCCCCAGTCACCAGTTTTTCATTTTCACCCGTTCCTAGATTATTTTGACTTTGGGGATGAAGATGTTTCTGCCTCGTAAAGGGCTTTGTACTGTGTCATGTTCTCTGCCTTATCCCCAGCTCCTTGGTGACCCCTGAGTTTCACATCTTTGGGAAGGTTTCAGCAGAGTTAATGTTGCCATTTGCAAGACACACTGCAGCCTTTTTGTGGAGTCCCAAATATAACAAATCTAGGTTCTCTTTGGCATGATGACATCTTGCTTAAAAGAGTCAAAGACTTTCTCTGAGATTTGCAGATGAGGGAGTTATCATTCAAATAGCTATCAAAAGAGCAGATGTTAGTTAAGGGTGAGAAGTGAGAATGATATTGTTATGGGTTTCTGCAACCGAGTATTTTCAGCTTCAAGTAGCAGAAAACCCAGACTCGACTGTTTTGGGTAATGAAGGATGTATCAACTCACTTCAAAATGTTCCAACCAAGGTGATTCTCTTGGATCTGCCCCTTGTTGGCAGTAAGGTGCCTGCACAATTTAGTGAAGACATGATAACTTCCATGGAAGGACTGTTTTCCTCTGTGCTCTGTTTTGTTTATTTGTTTGTTTTGAGATGGAGTCTTGTTTTGTCACCCAGGCTGAAGTGCAATGGCGTGATCTCAGCTCACTGCAA